ATGTTGCATTTGAAGACGTCTTACAAAAGCAAGAGGTCGTCTCACAAAAGTGTTACAATACGCCCTCATCTTCGTATGGAAGACCAAAAGTTACATTTGCTGAGTCGTCTGAATCTACGAAAAGACGAAGGATCCAAGAGTTGCTTGAGATTGACAAAGATGAGCTTAGCTATGCTACACAGCCTCTCTTCTCCGTCGGGGCTTACGAACTGCAGCTGATTTAGTGAAAACTGTTTCTGAATTCCCAGAAGAAGCAAAGAATTTGAAGAAACTTTCAAAACGCAGAAAAATCCTACTAAGTTCACGGCAGACGGAGCATTAGCTTCAATAATAAAAAACAAATTAACGAGATCCCAATATGCAGGTATCAGCAGAGACAGCAAAGAGCACAAAGCCGACATATATCCCCAACTATAACGAAGTACTGTTGGCGAAAGAACGCTGCTACCCCAAAGACATGACCATCACTGAAATTTCAGCCGAAGTGATGTTACAGTCGCTTCTTGACCACACGGTGAATCGTTTATTGTTAGTGCAACAAGTGTTATTACAAATTTATGAAAATTCTAGGGCTAGTACCTCAAAAATAAAAGCTTTGTATAAATGGGATTGTGACGGAGCAGCTGGGCAGCAGGGTTATAAACAGGGATTCACTACAGAAGGAAGTGGTGAAGGATATGATGACTCATTTTTGTTTGTCATTTCATGTGTTCCCCTCGACTCCTTTACGTACTTACAACGTAACAATTTTTTGTATATAATTTTAGTTAAATTATCCATTTAATCACCAAATTTAAAGGGTTTTTTTGATATATTTACCAAATTTATAGTTTGTTAATAACTAGTATACAGTACCGGCCAAAAGTGGAGAAACTTTTTAAATTTATTTGCTGCCGTTTTACAAGAACGAAAATGTTTATAAAGCATATGTATTTATACATAGAATAACTGTCTCATAAAAATACACACAAGCTTTTTTTGGAAAAAGCCTTTATTAAATTTTGAAAAAATTAAACTAATTTCTATGAGGACAAAAATGGAGAAACTGGTATTTTTTATACATTTGTAGTCGCTAGTCTCAGTATTCGGTTGCATAGCCTTTACTTTTGATGACTGCTTGGCACCTTCTGGGCATAGACTCAATCAAGTTCTTTATTACATCCCCGGATATTTCATTCCAGGCTTGTAATAGGGCAGCGAACAAAACATCTTTATTTTAAAATTTGTCCCTGTTTTTACGCCTAACATCGACTTCTAGTTGATCCCATAGGTTCTCTATAGGGTTCAGGTCGGGGCTTTGAGCTGGCCATTTGATCACTTCAACTTGTTCCTCGGTCAAAAATTCCTTAATAAGTTTGGCAGTGTGTTTCGGATCATTATCCTGCATAAATTTCCAGGTTAAAGGGAGAGAGTATTCAGCATAAGGTACCATTGTTTCTTGCAAAATATTTAAATACATATAACGATTCATAATTCCATCTATTTAAACAAGGGGCCCGACCCCATGCCCAGAAAAACAACCCCAAACTAGAACGTTCCCACCTCCGTGTTTTTGGTGTTTGGCCATACCCACCATATACTTGTACTTGGGATTGAACCTTTCATTGGTAGGACGTCTCACCCACCTAATACCGTCCGACCCAAATAGATTGTACTTGCTTTCGTCCGACCAGAGTACATTTTTCCACTGCTTGTAGGTCCAATTTGCATGTTCCAATGCAAATTGTAGTCGGGCCTGCCTATTTTTCTTAGAAATAAACGGCTTTCGGGCAGGTCTTCTGGCATTTAGTTGTGCCTGTTTCAGACGCCGTCTAATGGACCTAACAGATATTGAAATAAAGGAGTATTCGTTCCTTATATCCCCCGCAGTGCAAAATGGATTTTTAAGTGAATATCTTCTTATGGGTCTTCCAGGCTTGGGTATATTGTCAGTTGTCCCACGACTTCTATACAAATTAATCTGTTTACACACAACACTTTTATGTAAATTTAAGTGTCTAGCAATATCAATTTGTTTAATTCCCGAATGATACTTCTCAATTATGATTTTTTTTATTTGATCTGACAAATTTATCCCGCGCGGCATATTTTTAACGCTCTGTGAACCCAATACCACGATCTAGACGCTTTAACAAGAGAATATCTCACAGAATATTAAGAAGAAGATAAGGTTTCTCCACCTATGTCCGCTGGAATTTGTAAATCATTTTTTGCCTGCAAATTTATTCACAAAATAAGCAGTTTTTGGTTTGGTTTTTGTTTGGTTTGGTTTGGCTATATGGTTATATGGCTATACAAAGCAGATTAAATACGAAATATTTTCATGACATCCTATTCTGCAGAGAGTAAACTGTATTTTGACATAGTAAAAATATTAAAAGTTTCTCCACTTTTGGCCGGTACTGTACATAAAATTAAAGTATTTCTTTTTTTCTAATTTAAAAAACGCCGACAAATACTATTGGAGGGCCAGATCGATCATTCTGACCACTGTGCGTCGCACAGTGGTGTGAAACTGATAATATAACGAAAAAACCCTATATTTCCTAAACCGTTAATCCAATCGCATTGGGACGGATTTTATTCGATTCAGCTTAATAAAATACATCAAATAACATGGTTTAATAAATTTATTTACAAGTAAACTGAGCACCAATTAAATCGTAACGTGAAAATTTTTGCATCAAGTTGAACTTCTTGTATTTTCTGAACTATTGAAGGCGTTTTGAATTGCTAGCCACATTCTGAAACGCTTTTTTATCGAATTATTGGTCAATACCCATGATAGAGGGACAGGGTATAACAAAAATGCGTGCATTTTTTACAAAATTTTAAGTGACCTCCATTTTGTGGGGGGATGGAGGATTTCCATTATTTGTGGGTTTTTTAAAAGAGCTGTTTTATACCTCGGGACGTTTTTGAGTTTTTCTGGGGTATCTCTCTCCATTGCGATGTTTCCCTTCTTTTATAATTTTCGGTAAGGTTTTAATTCTAATCAATTTATCTCATTATGAAATTAATATATTGTATTTTTGAGTATTATGCGTATGAACTAATGATTATACTAAGTGATTATACTGTATCGTTAATGAAAAAGTGTTGAATGCTTCTTTTGTTATGCCAAGATACATAATAAAATCTGTTCATATAATTTAAATATACCAGCTAGATACATTTTTAACGCCCTGTATAACTGTAACACTTTTTAGTTTTATAAAATTATTTGTTTGCTTTATTTAATTATACATTAAAATGAATAATGCTTAAAAATACGATATCTTCATTTCACAATGAGATAAAATTATTAGTATTAAAACTCTACCGACAATCATAAGAATATCGAAAACATCGCAATGGAGAGAGATAACCAAAAAAGCTCATAAACGTTCCGAGGTATAAAACACCTCCCTCAAACTATCCACAAAAAATGGATCTCCTCCATCCCTCCACAAAAAGAGGCTCACTTAAAATTTTGTTAAAAATGCGCGCATTTTTGTTTTACCCTGTATTATGAGTCCTGACCAATAATTGAAAAAAACTGCAAAGAACGGTTCGATAGTCGATAAAACAATGTTTTAGAATCTGGCTGGCAAATTCAAAATTCCTTCAAAAGTTTAAAAAATACAAGAAGTTAAACTTGATGCAAAAATTTGCACTTTACGCTTCAATTGATGCTCAGTTTAGTTACACTGTGGTTCAAATTATTATAATTTATAACATTTCAATCTTATACAATATAATAATATTTATATAATTTTAAGTGGCAAATAAAGTAAATTATATTAAATGAATTCATCGGCATCCGCAAAATGAAGAATGTAGTTTCCATTTTTTTCCATACTGTTTATCTTTTATTTTAAATTTTTAACAAACGTGGCCGAATGTGGCGACAAAATTTATAGAATCACTACTTCAACAATCGCTTTTTTTAGTCAACTTAATCCGAGACCAAAGCTCGGTAAAGCTTTTTTGTTCTAGTCTGATTAAAGTAAGAAGTAAAGTAATTTTATTAGAAATAGATTCAAACTAAACTGCATCAAAGGCACGGTATATCTTGGCAAAATGATTTTTACTTTTAATGCCCATGGACAAACGAAACAGTTCCTGGTAATACCGATTTTTAGGAATTAAAAGAAGGGCTGTAAAATATTACTTGTTTTCGCTTTGTTTTTGCGCGTTTCGTATATTAAGAAAATTGTCAAAAAGGAGGTGTTTGGTTTGGTAGTAAAACTAGTAATTAAATTAAAAAAAGTAATATTATTATATTGTCTTTGAATGAACTCGATGTAAGATAGGATAATTTAAACCCGATTTAACACCCCCTTTTTTGTTTTTTTTTTCCATTGCCGAAACCACTGTGCGTCGTCCCTGGTAGAGGCCTGTCTGCCGGAATATTCATCTTTCCAGCAACCATCAACTCAAATAGCGTAGAAGATCGAAAAGTTCCACCATCACACTGTTTTCCATAAACTTCTATTGCTATAAATTTTCCTTGAGCATCTGCAACCGCTTGTAAACCAATAGAAAAAAAAATGTTTGTAATTGTAGTACATAGTACCAGAGTGAGGTGGACACTTCAGGCGTATGTGCTTTCAGTCTATAGCACCAATCCTGTTTGGAAAATTCCAGATGTTATAAAAATCATCAGAAATTTTCAGTAAGTCTTCTGAAGAAGGAACCTTCATGTGAATTGGTTGAAGAGAATCCCATATAACAGCCACCATATTTTTTACAATGATAATAACTGACGTAAGGCCAATTTTGAAAGTCAAAGACAGATCTCGGAAACTTCTGTCAGTGGCGAGGTACCTAGAAAAAAATCAGATCAGATCTTAATAACAATAGAATAGAATATAAAAAAATACACATTATAAACAGCAAAAATTACTAAATATGAATTTGTGAACTTAGATTTGTTTTTTTTTTCAGGAACAGATGTTCGAAACAAATGGAAAAATTTGCGAGACAAGTTTCGAGTTGAACTGCAGAAAAAACCTTAACCTAGATCCGGAGATGGTAATGAAGAGTACGAAGAGAGTCAAAACGAACAGGATGATACATATTCAGCACAAGTATCGTCATGGACATATTTTGATGGTCTGCTTTTTCTTAAAGATCAATTTACACCCAGAGCAAATAAAGGAAACTTAGGGTCTTAGGTTACAACTCCACGTATTTCTTCTAGTGATCCTGCAGTATTACATCCAGAAGCAGAACTCTTTGATGTTGTGTCACCCTCATCAACCATATCCTCTCAACAACCACATTCTGTATCTCCTACACCGCCGACTACACCAAGGACCGATACAGGTAGAATTCTTTCTTGTAAGCCCCGACAGAAAAAGGCAAAAGTTCAGCCTCCATCTACTGTTGGAGCAGAGCTGGTTGAATTGGAAAAGAAAAAGTTGTAACTATTAAGCCAAGACACCGAGGACGAAAACATGGCATTTTTCTGTCTGCTTCCGCATATTAAAAAGCTTAACGATGAACAGCGGATGTTGTTGACTATGGAAATTCAGCAAGTAACTTACAGACACGTTTACGGCACATCAATTCAGCAATCCCAACACCAACAGGTTTCCGCTCCAGTTTCCCTTTCGAGGCCACCACAACTTCTATCCACGATAGTCAGCCATCAGCAGCAACCTTATTCTGTGCAACAACATGGATCACAACCGTTTTCCGATGATTATTCCCAATCGCTGATAACACGTGGAGAAATGTCTCTTCCGGCCGGTGGACAATATACTAACATATGATTTTTTTTTATTTTTTTTATTACATAATAAGATTTTCTGTTTGCGAATTATTCAAATTAGAATAAAATGTATACCTACCTTATTGTTATTACTAGTCGCTCTTCCACACTTACAGAATCTTTAATGAAATTACTCCAACATGGCTGAATTTTGGAGGAAACCATTTCTAATAGTAGGGTCAGTGCACTGGTTATCCGGCCAGCACTGGTCCTCGGCCTTTTTAGGATTTAAAGCTAAATATTAGTTAATTTAATCGCCGTTTATCCAGTCCAAATGGTAAAATAGATTCATGTATCGTTTATCTATCGAAAGTAGTAGGGGTTAAGATGGAGCTGCAACTAATAAGCGTGCGAAAAAGCCACAGTTCTTGGACGCGCAACAGAACAACATAGGTAGTGATTCAAATGTAAATGTGCTTACTAGTGTGAAGCTACAAAATAGTAAATATTTTAATATTTTTTTTTACTCTAGGTACTTGTAATGTATTATATATGATGGGGGAAGGGTAAAAACATGTAAATATATGTCAAAACTAAGCAAAAATTGGGTTTTTAGTTAAAATTTTCAGGGGCCGCAAACCAGTAATTAAAAAACACGCCCTTTTAGTTCTCGGCCAATATGGCCGAGAGTCAGTATAAAAAGTTATTTTTCAATCTTAAAAAAAACTATAAAAAAACATATTTTGTCTTGTGTTTGTTATTTTTTTTTATTTACTTATATTATTCCTTTTTAATTATTAGATTGCGGCCGCTAAATTAATTCGAATATAAAATATAATTTAATCAAAAATTATGTTTAAAAATAGTGACCGAGAACTAGCGTTTCTCGGCCACCATGAAAAATAGTGTGGCCGAGAACCAAGATCACTGTAGATTTCGGTTCTCGGCCGCTAACCAACTCTAATCCTTTTGATTTTTTTCAATGGCTAGGGAGACTAGGAGAAATAAAACCCAGGGTAATAAAACCGTCTTGATACGACCTAAAGTATCAAGGATTAAAAGGAGGATGTACCAATGCACAGAGGAAGATCTCAAGAATGCTCTACGTGAGATCCAGGAAAAGAAAGTGAAAATAAGGGAGGCCAGTCGAAGATTTAATGTACCAAGGGCGACGATCCAGAATAGAATCAAAGGAAGAGTACCCGATCTTCTGAGGAAGCTCGATTTATGTTCAACGCCGAAGGAAAATTTGCTCCTCCACTTCTGTTATTCCCTTATGTGCGATTTCCCAGGGCTGTTATTGCCAATATGCCGAGCGGTTGGGTGTCTGGTTTGGTTGTGAATGTCAGAAAGAGGATGGATGACATCTGACGTATTTTTTGGGTTTATCAATAATGATTTTAACAAATGGCTGATTACAGAAAATATTCCGAGGCCTTTTATCCTGTTTGTGGATGGGCATAAATCCCATCTCACTATGACAATTAGTGAGTGGTGCCACAATAATGAAATAATTTTATATGCTCTTCCACCTAACATCACCCACATACTTCAGCCTGCTGACATTAGCGTCTTCAAACCGATGAAATCGGAATGTAAAAAAACAGTTTGTAAGTGGCAGAACAAACCCGAAAATCTAAATTGCTGGGTGACAAAAATTATTTTTTTAGCGTGTTTGACGAAATTTTATCAAAATCTGACAGATTTAAGAATTCTGTAAAGAATAGCTTCAGAAGATCAGATACCTATGGTTATAGGTATTTAACCGGTACCTAATGTTTATAGTTACTTATTTGTTATAGTTTATTTAGGTTTTAAGGAGCCTATTGCTATTATTGTATTACTAATATTCCTGCCATACATACATATAAGTTTTTTAATTAAAGTTTTTTTATTGATACCTTCATAAATTAATTGATTCTTAATGAGGTACGCAGAATCATAGTAAGGTATCCTACCTATATTCTAGGTATACCTACATGGCAGAGAACCAATACAAAATTGGCCGAGAACTGTGAGTGGTGGCCAATAACCAGTAAAATAGCACTTTTTTCGGTTATTATTGTTTTTTACTAAAGTTTTGAAAATAAAAATTAAAAAAAAAATCCATAATTATTAAAACACTCTACCGAACATTTTTTGTATTGGGCAAATTATGATTTAAAATCTCCTTCCATATCTAATCTGCTCTCAAAGTCAAAGTTTCCGTTAAAAGGCCGAGAACCAATGCATTGACCCTATTTATAGTCGCGTCTCGAGACGCCAAGATCGTCTTGGGCTCTTGAGAGCGCAATCCACAGAGCAAACATCATTTTGGAGACTGGGATTATCGTTTTGGAGATTGTCCTTTTGGATAGTTTATATGATCTGTGGATAGTTTCTTAACCTAACTTTTTTAGTAAACAAAGAAACAAAGTAAATCCGTTTTGTCTGATTAAACAGTTTTGAATATGTTAGAAGAGTTTGAGGATATTTTGGACCATGTGGAAGAAGAAAATCGTCTTCGAGTTCCAAAAAGATAAATACGGGATGCAAGAAATCCAATAGAAATGTTTAGCGAGGCGGGATTTATGCCGATACAGGTTTAACAAGGCTACAATTACAGAAACTATTTTCCCTCTTGAAGACTTGCAAAAACCTACCAATCGTGGTTTACCCATTCTCCCCGTCAATTACTAATTTGTTTACAGTTTTATGCGACTTGTAATTTTCAGATGGTAAATGGAGACTTACATGGTGTTAGCCAACCTACAATAAGCCAGATAATCAAGAATAATGCAATAATGTGGAAGTATTTCAAAATCGCAAAAGTTTTTTTAGTCTAAATGTTCAGGTCCCAAAAGGGAAATTATGGATATTATAGTTGGATATCCAGAGTCAAATCATGATAGTGTTATATTCGATCGAAGTAATTTAAGAATGCTAATGGAAAGGCGTGATATTCCTGGTTTACTTCTTGGAGACAATGCATATAGATGTAGGCCATTTCTATTGACTCCTGTCCTACAGCTAGGTAATCAACAAGAAACCAGGTATAACTTTGCCCATAGAAGAACGCGAAATGTGAAAGGCTATTTGGGACTTGGAAAAAACATCTTCCATGTCTCCGAGGTTTACAAAACAACTGTTGCTATTATTTGTGCAACAGCTATTCTTCATAATATTGGTTTAAGGGAAAATTTAGATAATTTTGAAGATGCTAATTTACACATTCCAATTATAAATAAAAAGGAAGAGGGTTAGATTTTTGAAGAAATCTTATTCAGCATTTTGCAAATTAATGTATTTATTGTATTAATATATGTATATCTAGTAATTAGGTAATATGTTAAGTGATGTTCCAAGGTAACTAGTACCTATATAATAATTTTAGTCAGTAACTGTTTAATCGAGCTCGAAATAACAATGTAATAATTAAAATTTTTAAAAAAATCTTTTTGTTTGTGTTTAAAAGAAAAGTAATATCGTTGGATATGTATTTTAATATTTTATAAAGGAAATGTCCTTGTAGTCCAATGTTATACGGCGCTAGTTTTTAAGGCCTTTTTGTGCAAAGGATGTTTTTTTGCTAATTGACTCAGTCAAACTGTCCTGATGATGGGAATAAAATTCTCGAAAGCTTGACAAATTTGAAAAAGTAGTTTTATTAGCCTATGTGGTGATTATTGACTGCATCCTCATTTAAATTTTGAGTTTTTTCTTAACTTAGTCAGTCACAACTAACCTGCCATTTTTATAATAATTTTATTTACTTTTCTATTAGTGTCAAATTAGTGTATATATATTTACATTACTTACAGTTATCTTAAAAATACTGTTTTTCTATACTTAATTAATATATAATTTCTTAGTAGTTTTACGCTCACTATGACCAGACAGCTAAGTGCTTGCCTTAACTGGTCACGCAGAATTTTCCCACTAATACATTAAAACTAAAAAAATTGTCTTTATTTTCTTCATCGTGAATATTTATATAAATATCATATGACATAATATATAGTGTTAGAAATATGATTATATAAACAATATTGATTTAATTTTGGGAAGATAAGCACGGACCGCTGTCGATCGCGCCAGTGTGATGAGACACTTCAGCACGCTCGTTTCAATGCTGTCTGTGTTTATTAAAGTTTCCCGACGTATTATTTGTGATTTATAGTTGATTAAATGTGTTGAATTGTAATGTATCGGAAAGGTTCTGTGTTTTTATTATTAAATTGCTAAAATCAGAAGTGGGATAGAGCTTACACCACAATAAGCTTTTGAGTGGCATGGTGAAACGTGGAGGATGCATTGGAATAAGATAAGTACAAGTTTCTAATTAGGTTTACAAATTGAAAGTATTGGTTGATGTTTGTGGCTTATTTTATTAGGTAAGTGATAGCTATTTATTTTATTACAAATTTATGTCAGTTCAACGACACTCCAACGATCTGCTCTTTTACAATCAGGACCCACATTATGCATGGTTGTTCTAAGCTTATAATAGAATACTTTTTACAACAGAAGCAAAATTTCATTTATAGAGTTATGTTTTAGCTTTTGTTTAATACATTTTTTTGCAGCACAAATATGTATTGTATTTATATTTTGTTGAACAACAAACTATTTATTATTATTGTTATGTATTTTAGCTGTGAACTTACGACCGGCGAACCCACTGATTTCAAGTGCTTACGATGCAGGGGATGAAAGTCGAACGGAAACTAAGGAAGGTAAGTTGTTTCATTTTATTTAGGAATCTTTCATACAGTATGAGCTCGACAGGGATGGTTTAAATTTGATAACAATGGCTATATTTCCTCGAAAAAATGTTCGTTATGCAAAAACATTACCGTCCTAATTATGTTCAACGCCGAAGAAAAATCTGCTCCTCCGCTTGTGTTATTTGGGTGTTAGGAAAGTCAGAAAGAGGATGGATAACATCTGACGTAAGTTTGAGTTTATCAGTAATGATTATAATAAATGGCTGATTAGAGCAAATATTCCCAGGCCTGTTATCTTGTTTGTGGATGGGCATAAATCCCATCTCACTATGGCAATTAGTGAGTGGTGCCACCAATAATGGAATAATTTTATATGCTCTTCCACCTAACACGACCCACATGCTCCAGCCTGCTGATGTTAGCATCTTTAAACCCATGAAATCGGAATGGAAAAAAACAGTTTGTAAGTGGCAGAACAAACCCGAAAATCTAAATTGCTCGGTGACAAAAGTTAATTTTTGTAGCGTGTTTGACGAAATTTTATCAAAATCTGACAGATTTAAGAATTCTGTAAAGAATGGCTTCAGAAAATCAGGACTTTTCCCGTTAAATCCTGACGCTGTAGATTTTAGCTAGTGTGTGGCCGACACCGCAGTTAAGCTTCGGAAAAGAAAATCCAGCGAAAATATTTCATTACGCGACATAACATCAGCCAAAAAAATGATCAGCAAGATAAGTGACAATTTAGTATCTTACGGTATCAATG